TGGTAAGTCTGGCTAGGGGTTTATTGATCTTATTAATTCTTTCAAAGAACCAGATTCTAGTTTCATTGATCTGTTCTACTGTTCTTTTGGTTTCTATTTCATTGATTTCTGCTCTGATCTTTATTATTTCTCTTCTCCTGCTTGGTTTAGGCTTTATTTGCTCTTCTATCTCCAATTCCTTTAGGTGTAAGGTTACGTTGTGTATTTGAGACTTTTCTAATTTTTTGAGAAAGACTTGTGCTGCTATGTACTTCCCCCTTAGGGCCACCTTTGCTGCATCCCTGAGGTTTTGAACTGTTGTGTTTTCATTGTCATTTGTTTCTATGATATTTTAAAATTCTTCTTTAATTTCCTGGTTGACCCATTCATTCTTTAGTAGAATGCTCTTTAACCTCCAAGTATTTGATTTCCTTCCAAATTTCCTCTTGTGATTGAGTTCAAGTTTCAAAGCACTGTGGTCTGGGGGCGCCTGGGTGGCTCAGTTGGTTAAGCGACTGCCTTCGGCTTGGGTCATGATCCTGGAGTCCCGGGATCGAGTCCCGCGTCGGGCTCCCTGCTCAGCAGGGAGTCTGCTTCTCCCTCTGACCCTCTTCCCTCTCATGCTCTCTATCTCTCATTCTCTCTCTCAAATAAATAAATAAAATCTTAAAAAAAAAAACAACAAAGCACTAGTTGAGACGTGATTTGTGACCCAGTATGTGACATATTCTGGAGAATGTTCCCTGTGCACTTGAGAACAATGTTTATTCTGTTGCTTTAGGATGGAATGCTTTGTATATATCTGTGAAGTCTATCTAATCCAGTATGTCATTCAAAGCCCTTGTTTCCTTGTTGATCTTCTGCTTAGATGATCTGTCCATTGTTGTTAGTGGGGTATTGAAGTCCCCTGCTATTATTATATTATTATCAATATGTTTCTTTAATTTTGTTATTAATTTGTTTATATGATTGGCTGCTCCCAAGTTAGGAGCATAAATATTTATAATTGTTAGATCTTCTTGTTGGATGGTCCCTTTAAGTATGTATAGTGTCCCTCTTCATCCCTTACTACAGTCTTTTGTTTAAAATATAATTTATCTGATACAAGGATTGCCACCCCAGCTTTCCTTTGATGCCCATTAGCATGATAAATTGTCCTCCACCCCCTCACTTTCTTTTTTTTTTTTTAAAGATTTTATTTATTGGGCGCCTGGGTGGCTCAGTCGGTTAAGCCACTGCCTTCAGCTCAGGTCATGATCCTGGAGTCCCAGGATCGAGTCCCGCATCAGGCTCCCTGCTCGGCAGGGAGTCTGCTTCTCCCTCTGACCCTCCCCCCTCTCATGTTCTCTCTCTCTATCTCATTCTCTCTCTCAAATAAATAAATAAATAAATCCTAAAAAAATAAAGATTTTATTTATTTATTTGAGAAAGAGAGAATGAGAGATAGAGAGCACAAGAGGGAAGAGGGTCAGAGGGAGAAGCAGACTCCCTGCTGAGCAGGGACCCCCCGATGTGGGACTCGATCCCGGGACTCCAGGATCATGACCTGAGCCGAAGGCAGTCGCTTAACCAACTGAGCCACCCAGGCGCCCCACCCCCTCACTTTCAATCTGGAGCTGTCTTTAGGTCTAAAATGAGTCTCTTGTAGACAGCATATGGATGGGTCTTGCTTTTTTATCCAAACTGATATGATACCCTGTGTCTTTTGATTGGAGCATTTCACTTATTTACATTCAGAGTAACTATTGAAAGATATGAATTTAGTGCCATTGTATTACCTGTAAAATCCCTGTTTCTGTAGATTGTCTCTGCTTCTTTCTGGTCTATGTTACTTTTGGGATCTCTCTTTATTTATAGGATCCCCTTTAATATTTCCTGTAGGGCTGGTTTAGTGATCACAAATTCTTTTAGTTTCCGTTTGTCCTGGAAGCTCTTTATCTCTCCTTCCATTCTGAATGACAGCCTTGCTGGATAAAGTATTCTTGGCTGCAATGCTTTTCTCATTTAGTACCCTGAATGTATCATGCCAGCCATTTCTGGCCTGCCAGTTCTCCGTGGATAGGTCTGCTGCCAGTCTAATGTTCCTACCCTTATATGTTAAGGACCTCTTGTCTCGAACTCCTTTCAGGATTTTCTCTTTATCTCTGAAATTTGCAAGCTTCACTATTATATGTTGGCATGCTGATCTATTTTTATTGATTTTGAGGGGGGTTCTCTGTACCTCCTGGACCTGAATGCCTGTTTCCTTCCCCAGATTAGGGAAGTTCTCAGCTATGATTTGCTCAAATATACCTTCTGTCCCTCTCTTTCTTTCTTCTTCCTCTGGGACCCCAACAATTCTTTCTTTTCTTTAATTTTTTTAAGGATTTTATTTATTTATTTGAGAGAGAAAGTGAGTGAGAGAGAGAGAGAGAGCATGAGCGGGGAGAGGGAGAGGGAGAAGCAGACTCCCCACTGAGCAGGGAGCTGGACCCGGGGCCCAATCCCAGGATCCCAGGACCACGACCTGAGCTGAAGGCAGATGTCCAACCGACTGAGCCACCCAGGTGCCCCTGGGACCCCAATAATTCTAATATTGTTTTGCTTTATGGTATCGATGATTTCTCAAAGCCTCCCCTCATGGTCCATTAGTTGTTTTTCTCTCTTTCTCAGCTTCCTTCTTTTCCATCATTTTGTCTTCTATGTCACTGACTCTCTCTTCTGCCTCACTTACCCTAGCTGTTAGAACATCCATTTTAGACTGCATCTCAGTTAAGGCATTTTTATTTTATTTTTTTATTATTTTTTAAAGATTTTATTTATTTATGTGACACAGAGAGAGAGAGCACAAGTAGGCAGAGTGGCAGGCAGCGTGGCAGGCAGAGGGAGAGGGAGAAGCAGGCTCTCCACTGAGCAGGGAGCCCGATGCAGGGCTTGATCTGAGGACCCCAGGATCATGACCCAAGCCGAAGGCAGCCACCCAACCGACTGAGCCACCCAGGTGCCCCAGTTAAGGCATTTTTAATTTCGGCCTGATTAGATTTTATTTCTTCACTAAGAGATTCTCTAGTCTTTTATGCTTTTTTCAAGCCCAGCTAGCAACTTTATAATCATTATTCTGAATTCAATTTCTGACATTTCACTTATGTCCATATCGATTAGATCTATGGCAGAGAATATTACCTCTGGCTCTTTCTTTTGCTGTGAATTTCTCCTTCTAGTCACTTTGTCCAGAGAAGAATAGATGGATGAAAGAACAAAATCAAAAATATCAACCACAACCTCCCTGAAATACACAGTAGACAAATTTGAAGAGGTAAGAAACCAAAAAAGAAAAAAAAAGAGGGGGGAAGAGAGAATATAATCTCACAGGTGGACAAAACAGGGTGATCCACTGGGTCCTCGGTGTATTTTGGTCTGTTTGTTAGAAGACACTAAGTCCCAAAATTGTAAAGAAAAACGATATATATATTTAAAGGAAGTAAAAAATGAAGCATATATCTAGAAAATGTATATGTAAAAATGAAAATTAAAGAAGACTTAAAAACAAAGAGTTGGGGTGCCTGGGTGGCTCAGTTGGTTAAGCGACTGCCTTCGGCTCAGGTCATGAACCTGGAGTCCCGGGATCAAGTCCCGCATCGGGCTCCCTGCTCGGCGGGGAGTCTGCTTCTCCCTCTCACCCTCTTCCCTCTCATGCTCTCTATCTCTCATTCTCTCTCTCTCAAATAAATAAATAAAATCTTAAAAAAAAGAGTTGATAAAATGAGAAAGTTGAAAAGGAAAGAAAAAGAAAAAGAAAATTTTAAACCAAAAGACTAAGGAGTCATGAGAAAAAAAGCTCAAATTCTATATACTATTTTCCCCTAGCACAGGAGTTTTTCAGTTCTGAGTGATCCATAAACTTGGTATTCACCCGAGGATCCTGCTGGTCTTCTGAGGGAGGGGCCTGTTGCACTGATTCTCAGCTGTCTTTGCCTGGGTGGAGCTGCACCACTCCTTACCAGGGGCCAGGTTCAGTGTAAGCTGCTTTGGGTTGCTCTATTTGGCCTTGGCTCCCTGAAGGCTCCTCTCACTGCTCTTGCAAAAAGTGGTCACTTTTCTATTTGTAGAAAGGCAGCAATTCTTTTTTTTTTTAGATCTCAGGTTGAATTCACAGGTGTTCAGAATGATTTGATAGATAACTAACTGAATTCAAGGGACCAGATGAAACGCAGGTCCCCTATTCTTCCGCCAGCTTCCCTTCTTTTATATACAGTGGAATATTACTCAGCCATAAAAAAGAATGAAATCTTGACATTTGCAACAACATGGATGGAGCTAGAGAATATAATGCTAAGCAAAATAAGTCAGAGAAAGACAAATACCATATGATCTCACTCATATGTGGAATTTAAGAAACAAACCAAACTAGCAAAGGAAAAAAAAGGAGAGAGACAAACCAAGAAACAAACTCTTAACTATAGAGAACAAACTTATAGTTACCAGAGGGGAGGTGGGGGTGGGAAATAAAAGAAAACAAATAGATAAATGTCAGAAGTAAATTTCTCATTATCAGTACTCACATTAAATGTAGATGGTTTAAACTCTCCTGGCAAAAAGCAGAGCTTGGCAGATTGGTTTTAAAAAAGAGGATCAGAATCTATATGCTGTCTATAAGAAACTCACTTTAAATATAAGAACGCAGAGGTTGAAACTAAAAGAATTGAAAAATATGTTCCATGAAAATAGTAACCAAAATAGCACAGGGGCTAGGCTTTAAATATAAAAAGGTTACAAGAGACAAAAAATGACATTATATATTGACAATATGTTTGATTCAGCAAGAATATATAATAATTATAAACATAAGAACAGAGCCCTAAAATATATAAAGCAACTATTAACAAAGCTGAAGGAGAAATAGACAGTTCTATAATAAGTTGGAGACTTTATTTTTTTTAAAGATTTTATTTATTCATTTGAGACACAGAGATACAGAGAGAGCGAAAGCATGAGCAGGGAGAGAGGCAGAGGGAGAAGCAGGCTCCTTGCTGAGCCAGGAGTCCGATGTGGGGCTCGATCCCAGGACCCTGGGATCATGACCTGAGCCGAAGGCAGATGCTTAACCATCTGAGCCACGCAGGCGCCCCTAAATTGGAGACTTTAATACTCCATTTTCAATAATGGATAGTACAACTAGACTGATCATTGCAAAACAGAAAACTTGAACAAGACCATAAACCAGAAGACCAGTAGCTGGGGGCTTCTGGATAGCCTCAGGATGGGGGATGGTAGCAAGGAGAACCGACCCTGTGTATAGAGAATAGGGAAGGGAGAGAGGCTGGAGACTTACCAATGGCCAATGATGTAATCAATCATATCTATGTAATGAAGCCTCCATAAAAATCCAAATTGAAGAGGTTCAGAGAGCTCCCAGGCTGGTGAACATGTGGAGATGCTTTGGGTATGTGGGGCATACCCAAAGAAAGCATGTAAGCTCCACACTCCTTCCCCTATACATTTCTGTATCTTTTCCATCTGGCTGTTCCTGAGTTTCATCCTTTTATAATAAACTGGTAATCTAGAAAGTGAACTGTTTTCCTGAGTTTTGTGAGCTGTTCCAGCAAATTATCAAACATAAGGAGGGGGTTATGGGGACGCCCAATATGTAGCTAGTCAGTCAGGAGCACAAATGACAATCTGGACTTGCAATTGGCATCTGACGTGGGGGCAGACTTGTGGGACTGAGACTTTAACTTGTGGGATATGATGCTATCTCCAGGAGACAGTGTCAGAATTGTAGAACACCCATTTGGTATCTGCAGAGACCTGGATAATTGCTTGGTGTGGGAAAAACACCCACACATTTGGAATACAAAAGTATTCAATTGGGGGGGCCCCTGGGTGGCTCAGTTGGTTAAGTGGCTGCCTTTGGCTCAGGTCATGATCCTGGGGTCCTGGGATCGAGCCCCGCATCGGGCTCCCTGCTCAGCAGAGAGCCTGCTTCTCCCTCTCCCTCTGCCTGCCTCTCTGCCTACTTGTGCTCTCTATCTCTGTCAAATAAATAAATAAAATATTTTTAAAAAAGAAGTATTCAATTGGTAGAGGAAACAAATATGTCCCTTTCACACACACTCTACCAAAACCAACCCATGAAAAAATAGAAAATCTGCAAAGACCTATGAGTAGTAAGGACTTGAAACAGTAAGACTTCCTGACAAAAAAAGGCTCAGGACCAGATGGCTCCACTGGTGAATTCAACCAAATATTTAAAGAAGAATTAACACCAGTCCTTCTCTGACTGTTCCAAAAAATTGAAGAGGAGGAAACACTTCCTAATTCACTCTATGAGGCCAGCATCACTCTGATACCAAATCCAAAGACACCACAAGAAAAGAAAACTACAGGCCAACATCCCTGATGAACATGGATGTAAAAATCCTCAACAAAATACTAGCAAACTTATTTCGACAGCACATTAAAAGGATCATATACCATGTCCAAGTGGGATTTATCCCTGGGATGCAAGGATGGTTCAATATATGCAAATCAAAGTGATACACCACATTAACATAATAAAAAATAAAAATCACACAGTCATGGGGTGCCTGGGTGGCTCAGTCAGTTAAGCATCTGCCTTCAGTTCAGGTCATGATCCCAGAGACCTGGGATTGAGCCCTGCATGGGGCTCCCTGTTCAGTGGGGAGTCTGCTTCTCCCTTACCCTCCGCCTCTCCCCCACCCTATTCCCCATCCCCGCTCGTGCTCTCTTTCTCTCTCTCAAATGAATAAATAAAACCTTCACAAAAATAAAATGGTAAAATTTCATGTTATACATATCTGGCCATTAAAAAATACGAAAATAGGAGATCAAGTTCTCATGAATTCTCCCAGGAGCCACCGCTCTTCCTCTTCCCCTATAGTGGCCTGAGGTGGCCTCTGAAAATGGTTCACTATTCACTTGACCCAGAAAACCCTACAAAATCATCCAAATCAAGAGGTTCAAATCTTTGTGTTCACTTTAATAACACACGTGAAACTGCCCAGGCCATCAAGGGTATGCATATCTGAAAAGCCACCAAGTATCTGAAAGACATCACTTTGCAGAAGCAGGATGTGCCATTCCTTCACTACAATGGTGGAGTTGGGAGGTGTACCCGGGGCCAAACGGTGGGCTGGACACAGGGTCGGTGGCCCAAGAAGAGTGCTGAGTTTTTACTGCACATGCTTAAAAATGAGAGAGTAATGCTGAACTTAAAGGTTCAGATGTAGATTCTCTGGTCATTGAGCACATCCAGGTGAACAAAGCCCCCAAAACTGCGGCATAGAACGTACAGGGTTCATGGGCGGATTAACCCATACAGGAGCTCTCGCTGCCACATTGAGATGATCCTTACCGAAAAAGAGCAGACTGTTCCTAAACCAGAAGAGGAAGTTACACAGAAGAAACAGGTATCACAGAAGAAACTGAAGAAACAAAAACTTATGGCCCGGGGGTAAAATTCTGCATAGAATAAATGCAAATAAAATAAAAAAAAAAAAAACGAAATAAAAGTAAAGTCAAAAGCCAAAGGAGAAACTCGGAAAAAATATTACAACCCATTTGACAAAGGCTTGATTTTCTTAGTATACAAAAAGCTTCTATGAAGCAATAAGAAAAAGAAAAATAGAAAACTAGGCAGAGGACATGAGCAATATACACACATATTCACATACACATAAAGGAAATATATGTGACTTTGAAATATATTAGAAAGAAGCTTAACCTTACTCATGATAAAAAGATCATGTTAAAAATACAATGAGATAACACTCTTTTCCAGTAGAAATGGCAATATCAGAAAGTTTGACAATACATTGTTTTGGCAAGGGTGGGGCGAAATAGACACCCTTGTATTTTGTTGTTGGCATTGTAAATTGTTATAACTTTGGGAAGGCGACTTATCAAAAACTTTTAAAGTACATATGCCTTTTTATTGGTAACAGAAAACCCAACTCCAATAGGCTTAAACAATAAAGAGGATTTATTGGTTCCCATACAAATGCAAATTCCAGGGGATGAGAGAACTCTGCAGTTGATTTGATTCCATGGATCAACAATGTCACCAAGGACCTAATTTCTTTCTGTCAGATCTGTCTTCCAAAGTATGAACTTCATCATAGATTTGACTTCCTTCTTGGTAGCAAAAGGGCTGTAGCATTTGAAGGCTTCACATCAGCCATACCACACTGTCCAAAAGAAGAGACAAAGTTGGCTTCTGTTATCTGTCTCAGAAGAGCAAAGAACAAAACCAAAACCAAAAACCTTCTCCCAAATACTTCAACAAACATCCTCTAACATTTCATTAACTTGAATTGGGTCAATGGCCCATTCCTGAGCAATCCCCTTGACAGGACAATGGTTTGCATTCATTGGCTATGGCCTGGGTAGTCAGAACCAATCACTAAGGCATGGGGGATGGGCTTACCTTGATTGGGTTAGGAGGGTGGTGCACCCCAGCGAGAAGCTGGGGCTGAGATCAATTACAAACTTTATGACCATTAAACAATGGGGAAGATGCAGAATGGATTTTGGGCAGGGAATCACAGCAGCCACTAACCACTTTGATCCAGGAACCATACTTCTGGGAATTTATCCTATAAATATAGTGTCAGATGTATACAAATAAGTGTGTTCAAGGATATTATAATAACAGGATATTGAAAACAACGAAAATGCCTGGAACTGGTTAAATAAGTGATATAACCATAAAAAAGAAAAGGCAGCTGTAAATGTATTATGACACAATCTCAAAGATATGTTAAATGAAAAAGCAGAGTTAATAGCCTGCTGCCATTTGTGAAAAAAAGAGAAGAAATGGATACAGATATACAGATATAGATAGGTTTTTAAGGGGAAGGGGGAAAGTAAACTTGTTTTCATCAAAGTATGTGCCAGATAGAGATATCCAAACACATGTGCACACATACACCCATTTATACTTGCATATGCATGGTTTGCACAGAATGTATCTGGAAGATTCATGAGAGACCGACAATAGTGGTAGTCTGGAAAGGGAACCAGGGGAACTAGGGACTAGGAGGAGGAGTAATATATAACTTTCATTGTATATCCTTTTATATTGCTTGGATTTTCTTACCATGTGCATGTATTTTTAGTCAAAAAATATGTATTAACTACATGTTTCTATGTGTTACCTGTCAGATCAGCAAAGATAAAAATATTTGTTAATAGTTGGCAAAGATGTTGGGAAACAGGCCCTCACATATATTGTTATTTAATATAATACATCCTCTTTGAAGGCAATTTGGCATTATTTATTAAAACTAATAATGCACAGGGCGCCTGTGTGGCTTAGTCAGTTAAGGGCCCAACTCTTGATTTCGGCTCAGGTCATGATCTCAGGGTTGTGGGATCAAGCCCCACATCAGGCTCCACCTTCAGTGCGGAGTCTGCTTGTCCCTCTCCCTCTTCTCCTCTCCCCTCTCTCAAATAAATAAATAAATAAATAAAATCTTCAAAAAATTAATAATGCACATAATCTTTCACCTAGCACTCACAACATATCTAAGATTTTATCCTACCGATATACTTACACATATTGGCAAAGATACATGAATAAACATGCAGTGTTTGTAGTAACAAAAGACTGAAAAAAAACACTTAAATGTCCATCAATAGAGGATTGGTTAACTAAATTATGATATATCCATAAAATGGAAGTTAATTTAAAGAAGGTAGAATTCTACACAACAATGAAAAAGAACTACTGATATATTCAACAACATAGATGAAGCTCACAGAAAATGTTTGAATGAAAGAAATTAGAGGCAAAAAGCGTACATACCCTTTATATGAAATTCAAATATAGGCAAAACTAATCTATGACCATAGAAGTCAGAATGTAGTTAATCTTGGGAGTGGGTAAAAAGAGGGAGCACAAGGAGCCAGCCTTCTGTGGTGCTGTAAATGTTCTATATTTAGACCTGGGGGGGAGGTTACATAAATGTATACACATATAAAAATATACTCTTAAGATACATAAATTTTACTAAAATGTAAGTTATACCTCAATATATGAAAAAGAGGAATGAACTAGGGCGCTTGGGTGGCTCAGTCGGTTAAGCGGCTGCCTTAGGCTCGGGTCATGATCCCAGGGTCCTGGGATCGAGCCCCGCATCGGGCTCCCTACTCAGCGGGAAGCCTGCTTCTCCCTCTCCCACTCCCCCTGCTTATGTTCCCTCTCTCGCTGTCTCTCTCTGTCAAGTAAATAAAATCTTTAAAAAAAAAAAAGAGAAAAGAGAAAGGAATGAGGTAGATTATACAGTGATATGGAATGAATTTCAAGATATATTTTTAAGTGTGTACAGATATGTATATCTCCATCCATATACATATATATGGTACACTGAGAGTAAAGTACAGGAAACAATGAATAAGCACAACTCGGCTGGGTAGGTTCTGGAGCAGACTTTTGCCCTGAAGTCATCTGATCTCTGGTGGCCTACAGCTTAAGTTTGTTTGTTTATTTGACAGAGAGTGAGCAGGAGGGAGAGGGAGAGAATCTGAAGCAGAACCACCCCCACCCCGCCCGGCACTGAACACAGAGCATGATGCAGCCTGATCCTACCACTGCGAGATCATGACCTAAGCCAAAACCAAGAGTCAGATGCTTAACCAACTGAGCCACCCAAGCACCCACCTACGGCCTAAGTTTAAAAGGCCCCATGCTTACAGGTGATGTCCAACTGGAGTTCAGGTGAAGAATAGAGAAAACAGTGGAACAGCAGTATTTGAAGAAAAAAATAGCTGAGAATTGGTGAAAGATGCCAATCTCCAAAATTCAGGAATCCCAAACATGAAAAAGAAACAAAAAAAGAAATCCCCACCCAGACACACTGTAGTGAAACTTCAGAACATCAAAGAGAGTATCTTAAAAGGAGCAAGAAACTTGTTACCTACTTATAAAAGTATATGACACTACCTATGACATATTCTTGCCCCCCAAAAGAGGAAAAAAATAGAACTGGAATCTAAATCTAATCAAGCCTTAGATCTAATCAATATTCAGGAAATAAAAAGAACAGGGGAAGACCACCACAGGGATGCAATCACTAAAATCCATTCTATAGGAAGCACTACAGGAAGAACCACCCAGTTTCTTCAACAAATAAATCCCGTGGGACAATAAAGGGAGGGGGAGAAGGAAGGGGCACCTATAGATTAAGAGATTTAAGAAACATCAACCAATTGCAATGTATAGCCTGACAATCCTTGACAACAAACTCAAAATAAACACATAAATGTTTATGAGACAATCAGGAAAATGTTAACAGTGACTATAACATTTGATGATAGTTAAAGAATTGTGATGGTTTTATTGCAATGTTTAATAAAAGTCCTTATATCTTAGAGATACATACCAAAATGTTTATGGATAAAATGAAGTAATACAATGTCTGATATTTGCTTCAGAATAATATTGGTGTGCAGGTTGGGGAGCAGGTGTTAGGGGAATATAGATGAAACAAGATTGGCCATGAGTTAGTAATCACTGAAGCTGGGTGACAGGTACATGGGGATTCAGTATACTATTGTCTTTACTCTTGTATGTTTGAAATTTTTCATAATGAAAGTAGGGAAAAAAAGAGCTAAAAAGAAAAGATAGATTACCTACAAAGAAATGACTGACAGCTGATTTATCAACAACAACAACAAACCCACAGTGTTTAGAAGGTTGTTATAGTACAACACTCTTTGTGTTAAAAATAACATATTCACATACATATTTTTTCACATATATTCTTATATCTGCATTGATTTATTTCTGGTAGTTCACATAAAAATTGTTAATAGGAATAGCTTCTCAGTAAGGGAATTGGGAAACTGGGGAATAGAGATGGGCAACTCTTCAGCTACCCTTTTGTACTATTTGAATTTTTTAGCTTGTGTTTGTAGTACCTTAAAAATATTTTCTCAGTAGGCTAGGAACAAGAGAATTTACAACTTGATAGAGTATAGATAACAATGACAATCATCATACTCAATAGCAAAATATTAGTGGCATTCACCTTAAAGTCAGAACAAATCAAGAATACTCACCTGTTTTTACAAATACCACTACTCAACATTGTTCTACAGGTTCTAGTGAAAACATTAAAGACAAAAGAAGATAAAAGTTATAAATATTGTAAAGGAAGAGTCATAAAATGTCCTTGTTTACATAGGATATATAATCTAAGAAAATCAACTGAGAAATAATTAAAATTAAACAGGAAGAGTTTGTTTGAAATCAATAACTTCTCTATAAAAAATTTCTTTGTATTAAAATATCCAATTAGAAAATATAATGGGGAAAAAGATCCCATTCATAGTAATGGAAAAAAATGACAGAAGTAAATCCAACAAGGAATGTACAAAAAGGAGTGCCTGTC